AATCCTTTTATTTGATATTTTTTATAATGGAATTAAGTTTTTGATTATTACAGTATGTTCTGATTGAAACACTACAAACTATTGCAAGGACTAGTGGAGACAGGAAAATCTGTTAATAATAATATTTGTTGGTGAAAAATCATAGTGAATCCAAAAATCTATTTGTCGGTCATATGAGTAAAAGCACGACTTCTGGGAAGTATGTATGGGGAGAAATAGCCAGCCTCTCCCTTCGTATACATTCTTTCTTATTTTCTTGTTATATCTTCCCCAAACAGAGGTAGTCAACAGTAGTTAGAATGGCCATCTCCCAACACATAAAATAATCGACTTCCCCAATGGGTGAACAAAACAATGAGTAGTAACCTGGGACTCAGCTGAGTAGGCCACTTTGGAGCCTTAAGTGGAGACGTCTTCCAATTTCAGAGTCATGTGTCCTCACCCTGCATCATCGTTTTAGTGCAAAAACAGAAATTAATTCTGGTGAAATGAGATTCACCTCCCAACAGGATTAATAGTCGCATTCACTGAAGTTCTTATTCTTCATTTGTGAGCTGTGAAGAAACCAGTAGTAGCTATAAGATCAATAGGATTTCTGCAGATGGAATGACAATATACAAGGACAAAATCACCTATTTTTTGACCTACAAAGCCAACGGTAGTTTTAAATTTGCAAGTTAATCACAGACCAGCTACACCACAACATTTTCAAATGGCAAAAGTACAAAAAAAAGTTATGTGTTACAAAAATATTTCAGAAAAAGTGTAGTCTAACAAAATAAAAGCACTAAAAAGGTATCTTGCCCAAGGGAGGTCAGCTTGGAAAAATTATCACCAAAGCTAAACATTTTAATTTCACACAAACTATACTCGGAAATAGCTTTGAGACTGATTTCTGAGGCTGAAAGTGCCAAAGGGTTTATCTGTCAAGAAACAAATACCTTAACTGACAAGGATGGATAGAATGAGCTCATACTCATTAAGATTTCTGCAGTGTTAGGGTACTAACAAACATCTCTTAATGGCAGAATGTAGTAATCATGGAATTATTGCTAAAGTAGTTTTCAAATGAAAAAAGAAAAAGAAAACAAAACAAATTAAACTTGACCACACATGTCAATTTACAGTTTTATGGTTATTTTACAAAATACCTCCATTTACACGATAGACTTCACACAGCATTTTAAGATGAAAGTTCTTTTAATTTATCCTGGCACACTATAAATGAATATATTACACTGTTTAAAGAATTATTTAATATGTTTTATTTATTAAATTTATTTATTCGACAAGTTTTTCTTTCTCTTGACTCAGAAAAAGAAAAGATCTTACATATAACAGATTAAGAGAGGAAGTTAAGCATACTAACTTATAGAAACAGGTGGGAACTGGGGAGGGTCAGCAATCATGTGAGTCTCACCCGATGTGATGCTCTTCAAAGATGAGTCAATCTTCTTAGAGCCATTTAATAAAGATTTTGAAGGAAAACTTCGTTTTGTACTCTAGCCCTTTAACGCTTTCATTCTTTTTTTTTTTTTTTTCCCCTTCGGTACACGGGCCTCTCGCTGTTGTGGCCCCTCCCGTTGTGGAGCACAGGCTCAGCAGCCATGGCTCATGGGCACAGCCGCTCCGCGGCATGTGGGATCCTCCCGGACCGGGGCACGAACCCTTGTCCCCTGCATCAGCAGACGGACGCTCAACCACTGCGCCACCAGGGAAGCCCAACGCTTTTATTCTTACAGTCAGTTCAGCTGTTGGTCTGTAGTAGCAGGAGTTACAACACCAAATGGAAGATAGATTCATTGCTCTGGATCAAAGATCATGAATATCTTCAAGGCTAATGATACAATTGCCAAGTTGCTTTTTAAAATATTGTAGCAATCACAATCCCATCAGTAGATTGGCAATTCATCACACAGTAGCTGGTACTGAGTATTATAAAATAAAATACATAGACAAATGGATATATACATATAATTTCTTTTGAAACCTTTGCAGTTCTTGAATTACTACTTAATTAAAGTTGTTTTAAATTACTTTCTGTTCACGTTTCCTCATCTGTGAACTGGTTTTCCCTTTACTGGCTTTCTTTTATACACTTCATGATTTTCTTATCAATTTATTGGAATTCTCTACATGTAAGGAAAATTTACTAACATTTTCTATTGTTGCAAATATCTCTCTAGTTTGTTGTAGACTTTATATTTTATTATATCAGAAATTCAAGTTTTACATTTATATCAAATAAAATGCAGTGATCATTTCCTTTTTGATTTTTTTCTTTTATCTTTGTCTGATAAAACTTTCTCACTTGGAGACCAAGTAACTATTCACAGTTATTTTACTCTGGATTTTTTTATGCTTTGTAATTTTAAATTCAGATTCTAAATTAATGTTCAGTTTATTCTGGGGTACAAAAAATTTACTTTTCCCAAGCAGCCAATTTTCTCAGCTGAATTAATGGACACTTCAGTCAACCTCTTTGATTTATGACATTTCTTTTATCATAAATTTATTTCACAGAGACAGATGCATATTGTAACATCTATTTCTAGGCTACCTATTTTGGCCCATTAATCTAATTTTATACCAATTGTTTAAATTATGGTAGCTTATAATACAGTCTAATATCTTATAGGACAAGTCCATAAACATCTCATATTACAAGGAAAACATCTTTAAACATTCCTAAATGGCACTTCTAGACCTCAGTGGCCTCAGGAGGAGTTTTATCTCAATAACAGGCATTTGAAACGCATTTGGCTAAGATGTTTATTATTACAATACTTACAACAGTTAAACCACTACTACAGAGGAATTTTGTAAAAGTAGCCTTTCCTTTTCAGACCATTTTGATAGCATCATCTGGTGGCGGGCTGTAAAAGGTGTGCATGTAAACGGTCAATGTCCTTTTACACATATTCTGAGATTATTTTATTTTAAAATAAATGTATTCTTTTAGGATTTTACTCAGAACTATTGACCTCGATATTTCTGTTGTCACTTCTTTATGTGTTACCTCTGCTTTGTTCCACTTGGAAATGAAGCTGTCATTTCAGTTGAGGAGTCACATGACTGTATAGAGATTGCTGGCAAAACCACGGAACCCAGCAAGGCCAGAAGAGTCTGAAGCATCAGAGTTCACGTTGGCGAGGGCTGGGGGAGGCTGCGGCACATTTGTCCTGTAACTCTGATTCTTCTAGAAAGATAAAATGGCTTTAGGGTGAATAAGCTATTGACGCACACAGCAACATGAGTAAAGTCTCAAGAGAATTAGCCTGAGTGAAAGAAGCGAGACCCCCAAAGTGTGCATACTGTACAGTTCTTTTTATATAAAATTGTAGAAAATGCAAATGAACTTACAGTGATAGGAAGCAGATTAATGGTTCCCTGGCCGGGCTGGGACATCAGGGAGAGGACTGGGAGGGAGGAATTACAAAGTGGTACAAGGAAGCTTTTGGGGTGATGTGCATGTTTATTATTTTGGTTGTGAAATTATACACTTTAAATGTGTGTACTTTATTGGACACTAGTAAATATGTAAATGTGTGTATGTGTGTGTGTATTTACTGTTGCATGAAACAAGGCAAATGGTAGGCAAGAGGCAAAGAATGGAAAGGAAGTTACGAGAAAGTACTGGAGAGCAGACAAGACCACAGAATCTCCAAAGGGTTCTATCAAAGCTATAATACAGCCCAAATGGGGATCCAAGCTGGTTGGATGGGGCAGCCCTTGGCAAACTTTAATGTACACACAAATCCCGGGGAACCTTGTTAACATGCAAATTCTGCTTCGGTAGGTCAGAACTGGGCCCTGAGATTCTGCATGTCTCACAGGTCCCAGGTGGTGCTGTATGCGGCTGGTCTTCCCACCATTCTTTGAGCAGCAAGGGGCTAGAGCATCTGTTCTCAACTCCGGCTGCATATCAGAATCGCTGGGGAGCTTAAAATTAATTAATTAGTTAATTAATTAATGTAAAAACCCTGATGCCTGGATCTCACCCTTTACTCCCAGAGATTCTGATGCAATCGATCTAGAGTTCAGCTGGGATCAAGAGTTCGTAAATCTACCCGGATGATTCTAATGTGCAGCCAGGGTTGACAACCACTACTCCAGAGAGATGGTAAAAACCTTATCAGGGAATGAGGAGGAAAGAACCCTGAGAAGATACTAGGATGGCAAGTAGGGCCAGAGAAATGTGATGAACGATGTCCCCGATCAGAACCAAAATTGACCATTTCCAAGCCTGCAAATTGACCTGAGTATAACTTATAGCCTGTATGGTCCTGCCTGTGTTAAAGATGCTTTTGCTGCTTTCACACCTGGCCTGGGAATAAGTACCAGCTGATTACTGAGCAGGCAGATGGGCAGTGAGGTTTTCCTGAGATTATAGCCACAGGGAAGAAAAGTCCTTGCAATGGAGGAAGATGACCAGGGAGGCTGATTGGACACACACTTACCAACACATGCACAAGGATTTTTCCTTGAAAGGACTCAAAGCCCAGCCTCTCTCCTCCTGTCCCTGATGGGCCACTAACCAGGCATGACAGATGGTACTCCAGCCTCCTAATATGCCCCAGACTTGTTTTAAAATCATTTGGAATTCTATTGACATTAATACTTTGGAAATTATTTTTTGATCTGTGTTACAGACTTTTATCTGCATTATAAAATTCTGATTCTGAAACCACTGATGCAACAGAATCCTAAAATGTTTACTGAGACTTGTCAATTTAATTGTGCTGCTTGGAACTTAAAGAGCCAGAGTTTGTCAGCATTTTGCTGACAAATGTCATCATTTACAGACTGATCTTGGCCACTAAATATGTTCACCATTTGCTAAAATTACATGTTGCGAAATGAGCTACCTTTAGTGAAACAAAAGACTTTTTTCCCATTTAGTTTTTTCCCCATTTAGCAATTTAGGACCGAAACAAACTTGCAAGTATATGAAAACCTTCTGGTTTGGTAATAGTCATTATGTTTAAATTTCAATGCAGAGGATGCTGTATACCTGGATAATGAAGAAGAAAGAGAAGAGTATGTCCTGAATGACATCGGGGTTATTTTTTATGGAGACTTCAATGACATCAAGAGTAGAAGCTGGAGCTATGGTCAGGTGAGCCACTTAAAATTTGTCATTGTCAAGGACATTTTTACTTAATATTTTTAGCCCCATGTATCACTGCAGGGTGCTATCTGTCGAAATTAGACAGGCACAATTTCCTGCTTTTCAGGATCTGAGACTCCAAGATAGGCCTGGGAGTAGAGACTTAGAAAGGCACCTGCATAATTTATCAGCTGAAATCACATATTTTCAGTTATTGCAATGTTACAGAGATGGGAGATTGTATGGATGATATGGCATTCCAGTGAGAAATGCTTTGCAAACTCGGTACAGTGAAATCTCATGAGCTTAGACTCTGCTCTCCAACCTGGAATGAACCCATGTTTTTCTTTTCTTATAAGGAAAAATGTTTTGATAATAATGCAAAGGATACAGAAAGGCAAGTGCCCAACTCAAAGATATCCCTTTTTTTAAGTGTTAGGATTAGATATGCTAATTAGAAAAGAATGCTACCATTTAGTCAAAGGAGGGCCCACTGGGCTTTCACCTCGAGACATTTTATCAACTGCAGCCTCAAAGTACTGTCCGGATATAAGGTAGCAAATGGTATTTCATCTGAGATATTCAGTGGTTCAAACTATTTCAGCTTGGTATCTTTAATAATGGAACAAATGAATATTTTTACCGTATTTCCATAAACAGACTCATGTCCTGTGATTCAGAAATGACTTTCCATTAGCAACGTGAGGGCAGGTGAATGTGTCATTTCTCAGAGTTTTGGCTGAAATGGTTGGAATTGTGCACCATCGTTCTGGGTATCCAGGGGCAGATTTCCCAGAACCTGGCCTCACCAGGTCACATGATACTTTCTTGGCCTGAGATCCCCGTTTAAACTTCCATATGGGCTCTCCCTGCCGTGCTCAGCCCTGCTCGAGCCTGACCACCGGGCTGTCATCATTGGCTCTTGTCTTGTCCACCCAGCTTTATGCCTTTTGCTCCTTCTAAGTGTTCAGGTTTGCCTGCCTGCATTTCTGACGTTCTGCCAGGCTAATGATCTACGTGCCCTGTTTTGGGGTCCCTGCCTGGCTCCCTGGTTCCAAGTCCTCCCCTTCCTGAGTGACATACAACCCGTGACCATTGCTTATTGTCTGGTCCTCTTGCCTTGGGTCCCTAATTCCTAACCTTTAGGCGTGATTCTATTTATGACCCCAGTGTGACAATAGAGAGAGAGCTAACAAGGAAAAAAGTCATCTAGGTGGGTAGCAAGGACTGCGAAAGGGTTCCAAGCATGATCGTGGACTCCCCAGACAGCCTGCCTTTGGATAGATGCCCTTGAGCACAGCCACTGCCTATCTCTACTGTCATTTGGAGTCCATTAATTTGTGCACTTCCGTCCAAACAACCAGCCAAGCCAGTAGTTTGTAGTGTAGTTCTCTCTGTCTTTACCTTTCCAGCTCATGGCTGTCATGCCCCACAGACACGGCTGAAAGATGCTGCCTAATAAGAACCAGAGTAATGAGTTCTTATTCACCTGGAGAGCTAGTGCAATTACCCATTTCTGCATCTATCACATCAGTTTAGGATACACGCAGAGTTGCTATTCTAACTGGATTTTAATAAGGAATTACATGGAAATTAGCCATTAAAATTGTGATTTCTGTCCCAAGCCCTTGGGTGGATAATATACAAGGTTTCTGTATTCAGGGAAATATTCTGTACAATGAGGTACAGTATAAGTGTAATCTTCCAATTTTGCCTTTTTTTTTTTTTTTTTTTTTACTATTTTGTCTTTGTTCCTTGTTTGGAAAATTTGGGCATTGTATGTGGCTAGGAGTTCTTTCTAAGGAAATTGAACTGACTACCTGATGGTTCCCTTGATAATATGATCTCCTTTCTCTAAGCCTTCCTGCCCTCTCTTTGACCCTGGAGTCCACCTTATCTCAGAAGAGAGGAAACCTTAGACAGACATTCACTACGTGAGGTCTCCTACTATTTCCAGTGCAGACCTGAAGTGCCTTCCTGAGAAGTACCTGGCAGCCATTTACTGTCGATATGTACAAAGACTCACGTTACTTTTGAGGGCTCGAGACTTTGGCCTGACTTTGGTAAATGGTTCATTCCCTTGCCTTGGCGCGGGAGCCAGTATGTTGGAGAGATCCTCTAAATTAACCCTACAATTTTCTGAAGAACTTCAGGTCAGTTCTTGACCCTTGAGTACATCAGCTCGCTAGTAGCTCTGTTTATATTTCTAGCTAGCATTTAAGTTCTTAATCATTTTACTAAAAAATAAAAGAGAGTGTCTCCTTCCTTCCACCTTGATACTTCATGCTAAAGATTATGAGTGATTGCCATCTAGGAAATACACATTTCTAAACATAGGTTGTGGTTTCATTTTATTTTTCAGCAGAGAATATCTTGTTTTCAGAGTGGACATGAAATAGTTTCTAATTTTTTTTCTCCAAATAGTTTGAGGATGGCATCCTCGATGCTTGCCTCTATGTGATGGACAGAGCAAAGATGGACCTTTCTGGCAGAGGGAATCCCATCAAAGTCAGCCGTGTTGGATCTGCCATGGTAAGAACAACCACTGATTACTAAAATCGATTACACATGTCATTTGCCTCAGTATAGATGCCAGCTCATTAAGTGCTGTTGAAATGGTGACTTGCACAAAATAAACTTTTATTTGGAAGAGTCTGTAATTCCCTGAACTTGTCATGTGCCGTAAAACAAAATTCTTACATCAGTACTGTGTGTTGCTTTGGCTTCAGACAAATGCCGATAGATGACGTGGACAGTATAGATCACTTATTCTTAAAAATCTTTGCCTAGAGGCTGGGAGTGACCATGACAAAGTGTCAGCATCTATAATCAATCAACAGACAAACATCAAAGAGCATCAAAAAAAACCCCGCAAGATGGAAACTTTCTACATTTTCACACCCATAGTAAGAGTAAAGAAATAAGTGACTAATCCTAGCTTCTATTTCAATGATACCTCACCACAGGGCTTTATAGTTTATGAAATGGACATTGATTCTTCACAGTACTCATGTGAGATAAGTGGGGAGGGGGTGGCATTACCCATGCCACTTTACAAGTTAGGAAACAGTGTGATGACAGTTTGTCAGTGACAAAGCCTCAGCTACAACCCAGGTCTGCTGACTCCAAAGCTGGACATTTTCTACCTTCCTTGCTGGTCTCTGCAGGACATCCTGAAACATCTTGGGGAATGCACAGACCCTGCAACCGAACAGCTTCCTGAGAGAGGAGATACAATCCTCATGAGTGGGAAGGTTGGGGGTCAGGTGTGGGTGGTGAATTAATTGTGTTGCCCGGGTCCTGGACTGTACTGACGTGCGGACCGGGTCCTGTGCAGCCCTGGACCGTACCAACATGCCACACACACAGATCCTGCCCTTGGTTCATGAAAGCGAATCAAGTCTGATTTACGAGCAGATTATTCCTGAAAAAAAATCAAGCTAGGTGCTATTTCATAGTCAAAGACTGAGCAACAAATACTCCTTTTTGTTACCAATTTCCTTAAGTTTTATTTAAAAAAACAATACCTCGGGGCTTCCCTGGTGGCGCAGTGGTTGAGAGTCCGCCTGCCGATGCAGGGGACATGGGTTCGAGCCCTGGTCTGGGAGGATCCCACATGCCACGGAGCAGCTAGGCCCGTGAGCCACAACTACTGAGCCTGCGCGTCTGGAGCCTGTGCTCCGCAACGGGAGAGGCCGCGATAGTGAGAGGCCCGTGCACCGCGATGAAGAGTGGCCCCCACTTCCCACAACTAGAGAAAGCCCTGGCACAGAAACGAAGACCCAACACAGCAAAAATAAATAAATAAAAATAAAATTAAAAAAAATAAAAAATAAAAAATAAACAATACTTCTGAAAGAATGCTGTCTTTGGGTTTGGTTTAAGTTAAACAAAATCAAGATCAAATATTGTTTATATAAAGATATTAGACTGAGAATGATATGAAATGTAATTTATGGTTAGCTCTTAAGAACAAAGATTTTTTTATTAGTAACTAGGCTATGTGTAAATTTAAGAAGAGTGGAGCTTAAAAAGAGAAGGTAAAAACTAATATCTAAACGCAGTTTTGTTTTCTGTTGTTAGTTTATGTATGCAACATAAACTATGCAAGTGAAAAGACGATGGATTCTAAAGAATTCAGGAATTTCTTTATAATAGCTATTTATTACAACATGCATTAGGCCTGCAGTCAGTCACTGTTTTTCCTATTTCATGGACAAAATTCTCCCTTTTCTCCTTTGAAGTCATCATGACAAGTTTGCAGTGAGATGGGAAGCAATTGTCGCAGTGGTTAGATAGAAATTAATTCCTTCTTAGGCACTCTGAAATGACATGCCCGTCAACCCGAGCTTACTCACATGTTGTGGGTATATTTACGAGTCTAGAAATCACTACCTAACACAAGCCAAAGCAAGAGGGATGCAAACAGGAAGCAGCTAACCCAACACTATGGTGGCATCTGGCCAGATGGAAGCTGTTAAGCCTTGAGTTAAGCAGAGAATCCTAATGCAAATTGCCTTGAAATCTTATTAATCATAAAAAGCCTATGAAGTTCTGATTTTGAAAATTTGTAACTCACAAGATTTAGAACTGGACAGAATCAATTTAGGGGGTTTGGTTTGGTTTTATTTTTCGAGAGAGAGGCCTTGGGTATTAGGGGAGAGGCCCACCCTGGGCAATATCTCTATTTCCACCACCACCATCGTTTACATACACAAAATATACGTCTGAGAGTTTTCAAAATCTTTTTATATCTCTTATCTCTTTTAATCCTTAGAAGAGCTCTGTGAATCTTTCCAAAATCTATTCAGTTATAATGATTTTAGAAAATAAAATATTGAGCCTCCAAAAATCAATAAAAAATATGCAACTTTCCCAAAAAGTCAATTGTTTTCTGGTCACTCAGGGAGTTCCTCTCCTGTTCACAAATCCTGGAACTCTATCATGAAATTGCTGAGGGAAGTTAAGCAAAGACTGAAAGAAAAAACAAAACAGAAACCCCTCAAATTTCTCAATAAAGATTTCCTTTAAAATATGAGAAGATGTATTTAGGGAGCCCAGAAAGAAAATGTTCTGAAGTTGCTTGAGTCTAGCCAGAACCCTGGGTCTGAGCAGATGGGCCTGTGGATGTTTTCTAGGGGGCACAGAGGGAGCTGTATGGTCATTTTAAAAGTTCTCCGTCATCTCCCCAGCCTGGTCACTGAGGCAGGAAATTCCTTTTATAGGATACAAATACTGGAGCAGGATACACCGCGACATGCAAATTCTCTGGGAGGGGTAGCACACTGACTGCAGTTCATGCCAAGGTGACAGTGATGGAAGGCAGAGATTCCTGGGCTCAGTTACTGCCACGAAGGAGTGGGATGAGAAGCCTGGTCCTGGCTGGGCACCTGCAGAGGGTGGGGAGGGGACAGGAGGCAAGAGCTGGTGACTGGGGCCCCAAAGACAAATTTGCTTCCTGTGGTCACGGCAAAGTCTGGCACTGAAGACCGGCCAGGAATTTGCAGAAAGTAGATGGGTGCTCGGTGCTGTATGAAGCACAGATAATAACTCAGGTTATTATCTGACTTATCTAACTTTCTGATGAGGGTGGTGACGATGATGATCTAAATCTGGCTTTACAGTCCCCAGATAAAAATCTTTGTTGTCTAGTGTTTACGACCTTGGGCCGTTTGCCATGGGGGTATCCTACACACGACAGGATATTTAGCAGCACCCACGGCTTCTACCCAAGAAATGCCAGGAGGTGTGACAACCAAGAATGTCTTTAGATATTTCCAAATGTCCCTCTGGGTCAAAATCACACCCCCAGTGAGGGCCACAGCACTAAATCCTTCCGAGGCTCAGCTTCCCTGCCTGTGCAATGAACGTAACCCTCTCTTCTTGCAGGCGTGGAGGATCTGTTTTCTTACCTTATTCAAAGCCTACTGGCTTTCCTTCTTCTGCTGAAGAGAAAGTGGAGGCAGCATCCTGTGGGAAGGCCCGGGTCCCAGTCACATCAGACCTCTGGGTTCTGACTCTCCCGCGAATTTCCTATGTGACACAGGACCCATCTCTCAGCCTCTGGGGGTCTCCTTTATCTTCAAAATGAAATTTTGTCTCTGTACTCAAATCACACTTGTTATTCCCGGTGGCAGCAAGAATTCCCTTTTCTCCTTCAAAACAGTGTTCTTTCTTCTATTTTTTCCCTTTATAAATTCAATATTTAGTTCTTTTGAGTTGCTGTTGCTTCACTTTGATGTGAAAATCAGGAAAGTTTATGACAATCTGGACAGCCTTGGGCTACTGGGTTTTCCCAGGGGAAAGAAAGTCTAAAACTCCTGTAAAGAGTTTTACAGGAAAGTCTAAAACTCTTATAAAGCTCATTGTCTGGGGATTGGTCCTGAGATGCCATAACCTTACATAAGCAAACTTTTATTTAGGTTTTTCTAAATAGTGAGTGGTACATTTTACTGAAGCTACACTGCAGATTGATTTAAGAGAGAAAAAAAATTTTTTAAGAGATTAGAAAAAAGGAAAACCTTGTCCAAAGCTATACTTCCTCCTTTTTTTTCATTTTTAAAATTTTATTTATTTATTAACTTGATTTTTATTGGCATATAGTTGCTTTGTGACCAGTGACCTTGTGACCTTGAATAAATCATTTAACTTCCTGATACTTGAATAAAAACAACAATGTTGTGTTAGTTTCTGCTGTACAGCAAAGTGAATCAGCTGTACGTATACATATGCCCCCTCTTTTTTGGATTTCCTCCCCATTTAGGTCACCACAGAGCATCGAGTAGAGTCCCCTGTGCTATACAGTGGGTTCTCATGAGTTATCTTTTTTTTTTTTTTTGCGGTACGTGGGCCTCTCACTGTTGTGGCCTCTCCTGTTGCGAAGCACAGGCTCCGGACGCGTAGGCTCAACGGCCATGGCTCACGGGGCCAGCCGCTCCGCGGCATGTGGGATCTTCCCGGACTGGGGCACGAACCCGTGTCCCCTGCATCAGCAGGCAGACTCTCAACCACTGCGCCACCAGGGAAGCCCGAGTTATCTATTTTATACATAGTGTCAACGGTTATACTTCCTCCTTTAAACTACTTGATTACTGTTTGCTTTCCACCTCGTACCTGATGCGACATTCCCCACCAGGACAATTGCCAGGAAATGTGCCAGGAAAACTTTAGAAGGATGCTTTGTGCCATCTGAAAATTTATTTTGCTCACAGGGCACTAATAAAGCATTCCATCACGGACCCTGAATTACAGTGAAGTAACCAGACATGGGTTCTGAGCCCCAGTCACACTCTCAAGACAGGTGTGCTGTGCCGTGTGACAGGGACAGCAGGGTCCTGGGGAAATGAGAGACGGTGACAATAGCCTGCCTTTACTGCTGGGTGGTAACTGGTCCCTGCCTGCTTCTGCCTCGTGACTGATTGGATGTGGCAGCAACTCTGGGCAGAGAAGTTCTCCCATACTGGCCTTGCTGTGGCCGCTGGGCCTGTGGATACTGCTTATTTATTCACTGTGGGAGCCCTAGCATCCCACCT